TTATCCCTTCCTCTCCTTCTCTTTTTCGCTTCATTAATTTTTAATATTTGTTTTTGTCATAGATATCAAATGTGCATAAAATTTAATTAAATCAATGATGTAAGCAAACCTGCTCAGGTTTGCCAAGCATCCTTACTTATGTGCACCATTCTCTCTTTTTCTTTTCTATTTAAAAAAAAAAAAAACATATTTTTTTTTTATTTGTTTTTTTTCTTTTTGCTCTTTTAGTCTCATTTTAATGGTTAATTTTATTTCTGTTGCATATACAAAAAATGTGTAATTCAATCAATTAGTTTTTATTTTTATTTTATTAATATCGCAAGCAGATGTTCAAGGCAAGGCAAACCCTTGTCTACACGCAAACATGACACAATGGCACACGCAGAATGTATAGGGTGTTCCATCTATTTGTTTTTATTTTAAGCTCATTGACGGAACGGACTATACTCCTTCTAGTTTCGAAGGAACATTTCATCCAGAAAAAAACACATAGAAGACATTTTAGTGAACGATCAATTTAATCCGAGACATGATAACTAAGTGAACGGAACGTAACATGTAGCTCCAGGCATTCTCCATAAGTCCCGAAACAATAAATGCATTGCGATCTAAACTCTCATAATATGCAGATGTCAATTGACCATCAGCAGATCATGCGAGTAAAGCTTATGCGAGCCACCCACAAACTATTTATGGGACCTAAAAGCTGACATTCGTCAGAATCTAGAGACCGTAGATATACGCGAGGCTTTGGATTTTCGAATGCCAGCGTGTAAAAAGGACCTACATGAATTTATCGATCACATTGTTTCTCGTATAAAACTGGGGTAAAGCCAATTGCAATTATATGCAGAAAATTTTAGTTTTCCACTGTAAAATGTTTTTTGTGTAAAGCAGAAAAAGAAAAAAGAACTAACTAGTGGAACATCTTATGTATGCATATGTTGTCTGCTGGGCGACGTTAACACGAGCAAGATACAAATAACGTATATAGTGAACGCTGTTCACTACTTTGCAATAATTTTAACATAAATTTTAATTTTATATCGGAATATTTTCAATGGAATTTAAATCAGCCTGGTGTTGATTACCTCAGAAGACGACTATAGTGATATAAAACGGACAATAACCTACTGTGTGTCGCGATATGTATTAATGCTCAGAGTTAAAGGATTCTCAGTGTATTTCAATTCAACTTCCATTACGCCTATAATGGTATATTGATCGCAAGCTGTACGACTTTGAAAAGTAGATATGCATTCTATTGTAAGCCTCTCAGATATTTATTGCATTTACGAAGAATTTATTTAAGGGAAAGATCTGCGCGGGTTATGACGGCATATGCTTAAAGTACAACAAGCAAACAAATAATCAGACTGCGTTATGAAAGGATCTAATACCGAGAAACTGCAGCTATAATCACAGCTATGCAACAGTGACGACATTGATTTTGGGTCATTGAAAACAGCGCCAAGTCTGCTTCGGAAAAAGTAGATCTAGTAGGCTATCAGCTTTGAAGTGCGACTTCGTTTTAACAAGTTAAGTTTTCATTCCGAAAACGCTACTGAACGTAAATGAAAGTTAACTGGAAAGTTAACGCATTAGGCGATAATAGTTGAAATTTCAAAAGCTTTCAAGTACGTTTCCCGAAAACTTTCTTTCAGAACTATCTAGTAGAACTATCGTCTTAGAAAAATCGGTAAACCTATACTAAAATATCTATATCTGTGTCCATAATGTAATATAAGAAGAAATTATTATTTATGTGAATTACGTGGAGAAATGGATTCAATGGCTTCAATGGCTTTGCTGAGTGAGTGAATGTCAAACATGAAATAAAAGTTATTGGCAGTTAGGGGGCGGGATTAACTCGCAAATTGAAAACACTTATAATAACTAAATAAAATATGGGAACACTTATTAAAGTTTGATGGTAAATTTGGCCATCGATCGATTTGTTTACACTTGCGATGAATATTACGGATGAGTCTGTAATCTTTCTCCGCTTGTCTCTCTCCTTTTTCGCTATTACCGCTCTACCGCTCTCTCTTTCTTTCTCGCTTGTCGTAACGAATTTCTTCTTTATTCTCTCGGTGAACAGCTCCTGTGTTTCGCATGAAGGAAGTGAGAAGATCGACTTCCAAATGACTTCAAGGAATTTGCGCACATTATAAACTTGCATCCTAGGCAAGTCGCCTCTTGCATCGTTGCATCGCCCATACAGCAAATTGTCAACAATCTATAACGATGAAATGTAACAAGAACGGACAACAACTACTCAAAGTAATCAATATAATTTACAACTTAATTTAATAACATGCAAAAGTACTTTATCACGCGGTCGTATACATGGGAGACAATTTTTATTGTAAATGCTTGACGTACGAATGGTTGTCACTGTTGTTGTTTCTATTTTTGTTTTTCATGCTGTTATAGTTGCATATTAAATTGTTGTACCGGCAATTTGACAAGCGACAAGTCACCTTACACGTGTGCATATGCATATCTAACCGGAACCTAAGCGAACTAAGCAATTTTCCACCTTAAGCAATGACAGAGACAAACACCGGCAAGCACCAACTAGTTAAACAACAACCAAAACGTTAGCGAAACCAATTTTAAAACGTTTAACATAATTAAAGCGAACACCGGCAACTAACAACGGCTGCTGTATGAATTGAGCATAAAAGGTATAACTTAAGAAAGTTAAAGCGAATTTTGCATGCCCACCATCACTTCCAGTGAATATATAAAAATGCGAGTTTCTCGATCGGCCAATTGAGACCTGTTCAGCTCAATATGCGATATAAAATACTAGCCTGTTATTATGCACTTCAAGTGTCTTTTCGTATGCGGATCATATCCATTTTTTAACTTAATTAATGAGATCAAATCAATACTATTAGCGTTTAATCTATTCTTTTTTTTTTTTTAAGTTTATATATTGCAATTTTTCAAGAATGTAGATAAAAGGCAACCGGACGAGCAGACAAACATGCATGAATCGACCTAAAGGCCTTACAACGAATAGGAAAATATATATAATTTATTATGACTCTAACCCCCATCCTTTTGAGTGCCACAATCGGAATGAGAAAATTAATACACCGAAGCATTTTGTTGATGTGTGTAAAAATTAAAAATACAAAACACCACAGCTTTGTAAGCGTGTAAAATAACGTTCAAATAAGAGCAAGAGAGAGCGCGTTCGACCAACACGTGGGCTGCTTGCATGCTAACCACTGGTTATGCTAGTTATAATAGTCGCAGGTCCCTGCTGCACAAACATGTCCATAAAATATAAAAGAAAAGGGAAATTTGTTGTGTTTGCAGCAAAAAAAGGTTTAGTTCATTACCGTTTAGAACAACGAGCGTACATGAATGCACAGAAAATGAGCTTATTCGCCTCCTGTCCTTAATGTTATGCTGGCAATGATGATGCTGATGATGTGTACGACGACTATAACGACAAGCTTGGTGTGATCTGCTGTACATACTTACTTGCCACCACACTACACCATAGTACATATAGTCTTCGTATCCTTTTCAGCACATTTCCTGTACAAATGAGTTCACATACACGAATGACAGCCGACATGAGTTTTAAGGCTTAAAAATGTTTCAGGTTACTATGTTGCTAAAAAACACACGATTTGTAACAGCAATGATCGGTGCAGTAACAAGTATCACAACAACAACAACAACAACAACAGCAACAACACAAAAAAGAACAACTAACATACAAGCTCAATAGACATTCAACAACTCAATTAGCGCCAGATTTTTATTACTGCATCGCATCGAAGAGCCTTAGTGAAAGAAGGAGAATTAGTTACATATATATATATATATAAATATGCAGGCTCCTCCTTGCATTGCTTAACGATTGCTTATGTGCGGACATGTGTAGCATGTTTTACGCACTTACGCAAACAACATGCATTAATTTTGAATAATATTCCCATGTACGCCGAATACAAAAGTGCAAGTGCTGCATTGATTTGTTTATTGTCGTTACATTTGAAAAAAAAATCCGCAAAAATTAAACATACATCTTTAATTGATGTCTTGAATCTTTAAAATGTACGTAAAACGAAGGAAAAGTAAAGGGATCAGTGAGTAGATATTGATGCAGTTCGAACCCAGTGAATCAGAAAAGAAAATGAAAGGAAGGAAAAAAAAGAAAAGAAAAGAAAAAATAAGAAAGGAAGGGAAAAAAAAGTAAACAAAAGAAAATAAAGGAAGCGAAAGAGAAGAAGAGAAAAGGAAGGAAAAGGAAAGAAAAGAGAAGAGAAGAGAAGAGAAAAGAAAAGTAAAGAAAAGAAAAGAAAGGAAGGGAAAGGAAAGAGAAGGAAAGGAAAGTACACAAAAGAAAAGAAAGGGAAAGAAAGGAAGGGAAAGGAAAGGAAAGGAAAGGAAAGGAAAGGAAAGGAAAGGAATGGAATGGAATGGAATGGAATGGAAAGGGAAGGAAAGGAAAGGAAAGGAAAGGAAAGGAAAGGAAAGGAAAGGAAAGGAAAGGAAAGGAAAAGAAAAGAAAAGAAAAGAGAAGAGAAGAAAAGAGAAGAAAAGAAAAGAAAAGAAAAGAAAAGAAAAGAAAAGAAAAGAAAGGAAAGGAAAGTACACAAAAGAAAAGAAAGGGAAAGGAAAGGAAAGTACACAAAAGAAAAGAAAGGGAAAGAAAAGAAAAGAAAGGAAGGGAAAAGTGAGAAGAGAAAGGAAGAAAATGAAAGGAGAAGAAAAGATAAGAAAGGAAGAGAAAGGAAACGAAAGGGAAGGAAAGGCGAGGGAAAGGTAAACATTAGTTCATCTTCAAGTGGCGATGATACAAGGCAAAAGAATACATGAACGAACACAGTTAGATTAATTAGCAATAAGGTAAGAAACTTTATTTTATGCCATATCTTTCAAGAAATTTATAAATTTAATATGTTTTATTGACTTATTCTTATCTAATATAAATAAATTCTTATAATATACGTATCTTGGGGTAATGATCCTATGTTGAGATTGATATAAATTTTCAAAAGTAAACAAATTATTTTTGTTTTTAACAGCAAAACATCGTCTTCACTTTAAGGTCATTAATATATTCCTTGCCTTTTAATATAACTCTAATTATTATCACAATGATCAGTCTTCATATCTTACATATCTAGCGCGAGTGAATATAAGTCAGATTGTAAGTCAAATTATCATCATCCTCGCAGCGACAATTACAAAGCTTTGAAGTAAAGAAACATTTTTCTCATAAAGAAAGATCGCATTGCTCGGATGATTTTTAAGACTAATACAATAGAATTCTTCCGTTCTTTTTAGTTAAATTGCTTTCCATTACATTTAATATGATTCTTTAAATTATCGCCATAAACTTTTATTGCATAATTTATTTGTTGTTGACATTTCTATTAACCTTCTTTTTGTGCACATTTGGCATTTTTTATATTACCGTCACTTCCAATGATGATATTATTACAATTTGGAATAAATAAGCCAGTCCCGCCTTTGTTATTGTTATCTATTTCATCATCGACCACCGGCCACCAATTGACTGCAGAGTCAATAATCACTTCTTTCACATTAATGGTGTTCAGCGTCGTCAATAGGATCCCGTAGAATTCATCGATTTCTAAACGTTCAATAGGAGCGTATTCATTGCATTCGGGGCATCGCCACCTTTCGTCTTTGTAATTAGCACGGAGATAAGTGGCCAGATCAAAACATTGTAAATGCTTGCATGTGACACCGCGTGCCGGTGTTTGTATTTTGCTTCCCAACAAACGACATATAAGTGAGACTTTTATACGCTTGCTCTGAATCGTGATAGAGCAATCGCCGATACAAGCATTAGGGCTGTCGATGATTACATTCTGGTCGTATATGCCCTTGGTGAAATTTTTTTTAATCAGAGATACACTTCGGGCGAGAGGTCGTAGACTGAACTCGCGCAAACGTTGAACAGCTTGTTCCAAAGAAACCCGCTTAACTATTTGCACTCCAAAAGCGAATTTCTAAAAATCAAGTCGATTTTTTTTTAACATCTGTGCTGAATTAAAAGCTTGCTTGTAAAGAACTTACGAAAGCGTTTGGAGAAAATTTGAATTTCAAGGTATTATCTCCTAAATGGCATAACGATTTAAAATAAAAGGATGCTTTATCCCGTTGAGTACATTCGAGATACTCATTTCCCAATGGCGTATCATTGACACAAATTGAAACCGACTGCGGCCAAGCGACGTCAATTTTGTTACGTTCTACTCGAAGACATTTGAGCTGAATCTCCAAGTCCGATCTGAGTATATTCAATAGAAATGCTCTTATTTGTAGTACCAAGATGGAATAACAAAGCAATGTTTTTGTTCGAAGATTTTAACTTTTATGTAAGTGAGAGCAATATTTATTATTGACATACTTACCGACTCATTAGCATTTTATATTGACCTGGACCAAGGTGAAATTTACGTTTGCTTGAGTGCAGTTGCCTTGAAAAATCGATGCGCTTAAGAATAACGGAAGGTCCTTCATCCATCGGCATTGTGAACGTCATTTCTCTTACAGCTATGAGTTTTTTTTTCTTTTTAGCTCTGAGTTAAAAAATACTATTAAATACAATTTTTCAGTTACTTACAGGTGTTACTCTGATGTATCTGCTGGTTGGGATTTAGCATTAAGAGATGCATAGGATTGCGGGAATGGGGTCTATATTGGTAAGTTTGGTAACCAGTATGCCAAAATTATAAGACAAGCTTCACATAAAAAGTTTACATTCAGATTCATTCTCTTTCTTACCGTGGATTTTCACAAACTGCAGAAGTGTTCGAGAGAGTGTCCTCCATTCTGCCGGACAATTTGCCGCCGACGGTGTTTATGGTGCCTTGTAAATCGAGACTAGATATTATTTGTTGTGAGAAATGTGAAGGTGAGTTAGAATATCTCCCAGGCTCCTCTTGAGGTATAAAATTTGATTTAAACCTACACGCGTCTTCACTGACACCAATATCTAAATTAATAGATCCCGCAAATTTATTAGCGCCCACGTAGCTTCGATCTATACAGAAACTATTACCTGCATGAATGTAGCGGGTTCCCATTGGAATAGGCGTATACAACACATCGTGATTTTGCGCAAGAAAATATTGTGAATTTGCATTCGTAGAGGCCAAACTGCTTTGAGCATTAAGGTGACCTTGATAAAGTCTGCTTTGAGCCGTAGGAAATGCGATAGACACTGTACTGCCTGGACACATAATATCACTAGGCTTGATATTACTTTGGTCTGCAGCAACTGAATCTTCGCAGGGAATATTCTCTGACGAAACACATTTACTCGTAGAATCAGTTCTAATATTAGCATTATTTCCAATTGGAAACGGTACATTATTTTCCATCGAGCAAAATTGTTGTTGAGAAATATTTTGCAAATTTGCATCCATCGGGGGAATATTAATTTGGGGACTGGCATGGCTGTCATCGGATTGAGTACAAAGCACAGGACCTGCTGCATAATGCTCACTGTCTGCATGCAAAACACTGTCACTACAAACACTACTACTTCGACTGAGAATAGTACTTGCGCCATTATCGCTCGAAGAGCCATCTGTTATATCAGACCAAGCCGTATTTCCCGTCGAACAAGCTTTTTGATGAAAAGCATTTTGCAAATTTATATCCATCGAGGAAGTATGCGTTTGATGATCGATATGACTTTCAATGGGTTCATTAGGAAGCATTACAGTATATGCTCCACAGTACATGCCATCTGTACGCATAATATAATCAGATTTATTATCATTTCCGCTCCCTACTTTAACTGGATCTAAGGGACTCGAATCCCCATGGAGAATATTCTCTAGGCATTCAAACTCAATTGTTTTGTACGAAAGTATTTCATCACTCGGTATGTTATACTCTTCTTGGGAAATATTTTGCTCGCATTTTACACTCGAATCCCCATAGAGAATATTCTCTGGGCGTTCAAACTCAATCGGTTTGCAGGAAAGTATTTCATCACTCGGTATGTTATACTCTTCTTCCGAAATATTTTGCATGCCCGAACTTTCCAAATGAGCATGAATGCTGGGATAGAGAAACTTCCTGTTACTTGGCCCGCGAAATTCTTTCAGCTGAGCATATAGCGAATCTGCACGTCTCCGAACAGCAGATGATTGATGATCTGGATACGGAGAGATACGGTTTCGATTCTTGCTGAAATTGGTCATTTTTGACGCCATTGTTTGAGATATGGCACCTCTGCGTGCAATTTGTGCTTCCGAAATAAACAATTCGCCTAACAATGTAAGCCAAAGGTTAACATGACAAATATTTATTAATTTATTGCATATTACGTTGGAAGTTCCAAATATTTGATAGATGGTTAGAATTCGCTTTATTGGCTGCGATCTGATCTAAGGTAAATTTACGATCATTCAACGTTTTTCAGTTAAGACCACGTCACCAGAATAATATTACAAGAAGCTGTAAAATATTTGTGCTTCATTAAAACTTTTAGCCGTTCGTAGAATTGTTCATCAGTTTTTCAATCTTACGGCAATCAAAAATATCAAATCTGCCATCTATCTCGGGTAATACAATTGACAAAAGTAGATCTGGATTTCATCTCTTCTCAGGTCTTGGATTCGTATTTTTAGTTTCTAAACGAAGCTCAAGTGCAATTTATTAACTAAGAACGGATTTCTTTTGGATTTCTCGGGAGTTTTGCTGCAAATCACAAGCATAGCTTGTTCCCGATACACAATAAATCGAAAAAGTTTTGTTAAGCGTAGGTAAATATCTTTAAGAAAACTGAGGTGAATAAAAATACAAGAGAAATTCTCTAGTTAACAAGGTCCCCCTTAATAGCTGTTAGTATACTCAAGTGTTCTATAACAAAACGCAATTAATTGGTACCGAGTTATATGGAAAGCGTCTCTCTCTATCTCCATCTCTGAATTAACTCAACACAGGAAATGCATTCCTTAAAATAAATGAGAGTAATTTACACCACGTCAAATTAAATGAATGCATACGACACATACATAGAAAATCAGAAATTTTCTGATAACCGGAATTGTGAACAACCCATGCATCCATAAAAGTGTAATAGATTTTGGCCAGATATAAAGTTTTCAAGGCATTTGTGTTGTTGTTGGAATGTTGTTGTAAGAAAAATGCGTTTTAATGGGTCGCGAAGAGGAGAGAAAAGAAGAGGGGAGAAGAGAAGACGAGAGACGTGGAAAGAAGACGAGAGAAGAGAAGAGAAGCGAAAAGAAGAGAAGCGAAGAGGAGAGAAGAGAAGAGAAGAGAAGAGGAAAGAATAAAAGAGTGGAGAAGAGAGGAGAAGAGAAGAGTAGAGAAGAGGAGAGGAGAGGAGTGAAGGAAAAAAAGAGAAAAGAAGGGAGGGCACAAAAAAGAATACGGGTACATAACATGAATAGTATAAGAGGAGAAAATTAAATCATTTCAGATAAACTCCTCTTTTAAATCCTATGAGCAAACTTCTTAACAAAAAACCTTTAAATGTGATTTATATATCCGTCGAATATGTTCGCAAATCTTTTTTACAATCTTACCACTTTCCACATTTCCTCCCACACTTTGAAATGTATACCTACGGAGCCATCCATATTATTGTTAAGCGTACCTATTTTATAGAATAATTGCTTCCACATATGTGCGTACGCAAAGAGCTTACAAGGTATGGACACAGAAGAAAGACATGCACATAAGGCTAACACGAAGCAAACTGTCATGAAAGCATAAAAATTTCCTTTTGAATGTGAAATGCAACAACTTTAATACCATCTACAAAATAAGGAAAAACAAAAACAAAACAAACGCTTCTAGATAGTCGATAATTATTCATGTTAAACATGTTTCCGACAAATGACATTAAGAAAACAGTAAATATTGTTTGGATGTCTCAAGTTAAAAAAAAAAAAAAAAACAACAAAAAAAACAAAAAAAAACCAAAAAAAAAAAAAAAACAGATATGAATTCATTTACACGATTGCGGAGAAGACGTGAGTGTTTTGAAATGGACTCATAAAGAAATTTTTTAAACACCCGATCCTTACATTCTCTAATACATATGCATTTTATCTATAAGAATTGCTTTTATTGCAGTTGCTGTTGTTCTCGTTAGTGGTTAAGTCTTCACTTCACACAAACAGTAAAAAAGCACTTTTTATGTTCGTTTCTTCACTTGGTTTGTTTGTAATGTTTGCTTATTCATTGAAATGCACGCGTATATGTGTGCACATCTATATGCGGCTCGGTTATGCCTTTACTGTTGACATTGTGATGAATTACACTCAAGGGAGCTGTGTCAAAGCATCTAGCAACAGCAGAAGCAGCATAATCTCCTGCCATGGCTGCCTATCTATTTATTGACGAGCGTAAAATTCAAGACTAAACTGAATGACGGCTTGTTGTTCGCGTTGCCTTGCACTGCCGCACACAAACGCACTGCTACGCTCTTATATTCATGTTTCAAACAAACTCTTTACTCGCCCAAGATGACTTTTAATGACAACCCCCGTAAGGTGTTAATTTATTATTAATTTGTCATATATGTAATGTTTTTTTTTTTTTTTTTTTTTTTTTTTTTTTAACAGTACGCATACAACAACAAACCTTAATTGCAGTTAAAATAAAACAACACAGCAATAATAATAAAAATAAAAAGAAAAACCAAGTCATAAACTTCAAGTGTTGTCTACCGTCTAGACATGGCAAACGAACAAACGCACAAACTTAAATAAACGCTTGCACTACCGCAATGGTTGCAGCTTGCACTTCAGGTCCTTTTATGAAAGCAAAGGTTAACAGTAGCAAGCAGCATCACATATCACATATAGCACAGCGACACATATATATTCAATAGAATCCACAAATGATTGTCTGTATCAGTCCTACATGTAACACCTTTTTCATTATTTTCTTCTGCTTCTGTTTCTACTTTGTCTATTTCTTCTCTCTCTCTCTCTCTCTCTCTATCTCTCACTTCTGGCGATTCTTAAAAAAACCTTCTTCCCGTCGAACATTTTGTTTTTGTAACCCTTTTGGGAAATGTAACGTAATGTAATCAGAATAAGAGAAATATGCATTATTAATAATGTTTTTTTCTTTTTTTTTTTTTGGTGTCATTAAGAATTTGAAGTCTGAAGTTTGAAGTTTGCTCGAAAACGCAACTTTTTAATGCTGTTAAATAAAGAAACTTTGCTGTCTAGACAAAAATGTGTATATGTGAATATACATATATATATATATACATATATATATATATACATATATATATATATATACATATATATATATATATACATATATATATATATATATATTTGATAATACTTTGGTGAGCAAGAATATCGATCAGTTAGCGTTTTTTCAAACCTCAGTCTCGCTGAAGAAGGCTTAAATCGTTTTGGAACCAATCTCAGTGGAAAAATAAAATTGATTTAATTGATTTAATTAAAAAAAGTTAATGCAGTCGGACTGCATATTTGAACCGAGCTTTCCATAAAGCACCTTTTATCATACTTTACATTAATAGATGCATGCTTTTAGTTTTTTACAAAGGCAGCCAGCCTTTGGCCTGTCAACAACAAAAATGCAGCCCGTAGTTCGGCAACTACGGCAACTATTTTCGCAGATGTCTTATACGAACAAAATTTTTTTGTTTACTTCAGTCGCGCTCTTTGAGAAGTAATCCAAAGCCCTAATTAATATGTGTAAAAAAGTGAGCAAGGTCCGTCCATATCAAAGGTCTTTGGCGGTGATTACGTCGCACTAATTTTTGGTTGAGGTAAGTTCGATAGTCATCAAAATCTTTTCATTCGTTCACTCAATTTCGATCGTGTTCTTCCTCTTTCAAATTATGAATTACTTGCGTCCGAAATTATAATTTGCATATTTTTGCGTTTAAGATATTTGCCGCCGATCTTAAGATCCAGACGGTTTCTTATTGTACACATTTTTGGATGGCGGAGTTGTTTCAAAGCTAATTTCGATTGTTAATGTGAAATGAGAGAGAAAGAAAGATAGAGAGAGTCAAACAGATTCGACTAATTTAGAAAAACACGAAACACTTGCTAAGCGTTGAAATTCTCAATATCTGATTTAACAGCAACTTCAATCATTCTGCGTATCGATTTTAACGCCGATACGAACCTGAATAAATTAATTACTGATCCCTCATATACTGAGAGGATATGCTTTTTGCACGAAATTTTACTTCCTTTGTGGAAAAAGGAGCAAGCAACTTGAGCTCCATTAGGAATTTTTTTTTTTTTTTTTTTTGTTTTTTGCTAATGTTTCACGTATGATATGCGCCTGGAGAATATTTAATAAAAGCGCTAATAAAGCAAAACACCTAGAAAGGAACTAAAATAATAACCCGACCTCGAAGCAAAAGAAACAAAAAATATAATTATAATAACTACAATTAAATTTGAAGCCTAAAGCCAGCAAGGAGTTACCTTATGAAGTTTGTGAAGCTGGAAAATGTGTTAAGAAGTTTTATATTATAAATAAAATTTAAAGTAAAAGAAAAAACAAAAAAATTAAAAAACAAAAAAAACAAAAACAAAGGAACTTGAAGTCTTTTGAAATTTTTTATTATTATAAAGTATAATTAAAACGAAATTATAATGTGTCGTTATCGTTGTCGTTGTTGCGATCGTTTGGTTATAGCCGCGGTCGAAAGCTCTCGAAAAGGAACGATTTATTCATATTTAAATGAATCAAGAAGAAAAACCATGCTATCGCATCTTCTATGTTCGGCCGCTTAAACTGGCATCGAAAACATATGCATATGGTAGATATAAAGACAACAACAGCAATCAGCAGCTGCTGCTGCTGCTGCTGCTGCTGTTGCATCAGCATTAAAAAAGGAACATCTCAATTAAAGAGCAAAGGAGGCGTATGGTCGGCTGTTCGGATGATTGCTTAGTTAGTCGGCCGGTATGGATAATGATGACGATGATGATGTATTTGCCACACGGCCTTAAGACAAATGTTTATGCGAAGCAGACTAGGTGAGCGAGCGAGTGAGTGAGTGAATAAATGTATATATAAATATGTAAATGCTAGAGTGTACTTGCTTCTTACACATGCGATGATCGTCTTAAGGATATAAAGGCAAATGAAGTTTCATTGCAAATTTATACAAACATAAAACAGTGTCAAAACAACGAGCAAAAACATTATCCGAACAAAGTAACATACAACAGCATACATATCCAAGAAACGAAAGATTCAAAAGAAAAACTTGTGAATAAAAATTTTGTTGTTTAGCACAAGTGTGACTTGCAAATATGTGCATTTGTATGAACATGATGTGGACGAGGTAGACAGTTACTTATTTGCTGTTGCTGTTGCTGTTGCTGTTAAGTTCGGTTTCTTCAAACTGACAACTGTATATACGGTTACCGTACTGTCTGCGTTTGACTATCTGTTTGTACGTCTACTTGTCTCAACAAT